AAGAAAGTTAAAGAGGAACGGATCGGCCTAGAGGGCGGATCCCTGAGTTACCACCGGGACTTGCAGGCTAGCAGACGAGGCCTACTGTAATTAACACACACACCAAAAATTAACTTTCCACTCCCACCCCCACCCCCGCCCAGCCATGCAAATTCCCTAAAAGGTTCCTCCTGAGAGTAGCCAGCCTGAGGGCAGTCTGTCCAGTTCCCTGCTCCCACGGTCAGGTCAGTTTCCTTTTAATTCCTCCCAGCCGCCCAAGAGTCCTCCTTTTCAAATTCTAAGTGTGACCTCCCCCTCCAGGGCAACCACCTCTACCCCGCCCACCCCACCCGCTCTGCCCGGCATTGTCCCTCTCCAGGTCGTTCCTTCCCCGCAGCTCCAATCCGGTCGCGTGCGGCTGACAGCCCACGGCCACAGAGTACTCACCGAGGCCTAACGCAGCAGGCGCTGCACTTCCTCCCGCGCCGCCACACAGGTCCCGGCAGGCACCGAGCCCCGACTACCTGGGTTCCGCTCGCGCAGCCGCCTCACGGGTCCGGGTGGGCACCCGAATCCCGAGAGCCTGGGTTCCGCCTGCCCCGCCGCTTCCCCGACGTGTTCATTGGACGCTCTTGGGTCACCAGACAAGCGCGGGGCTCTGCCAGCCTGTGAGTTAGAAACAGGAACGCCTAAGATGTCCACTTCAGGAAGGACGAAAGTGAGGCTCAGAAAGGTGGGCATGGTGGCTACCAGGCTTGAAGTCTGCAACGCTCTCTGGGGAGGTGTGGCAGGAGGATTGTCAAATTCGAAGCCTGACAGCCTGAGCTACAGAGTCTGGAAAAAAAAAAAAAAAAAGGAAATAAGAAACGAGTAATGGCTCACAATTGTAGCCCTAGGCAGGAAGATTTTAAAGTTCAGAATCACAGCTAGGCATGGTGGCGCAAGCCTGTAATCCCTGCCTTTGGGGAGGCAGAGGCAGGCGGATTTGAGGGTTTGTAGGCCAGTCTGGTTTACAAATCGAGTCTAGGACAGCCAAGGCTACACAGAAACCCTATCTCGGAGAAAACAAAACAAATCAAACAAACAAAAATAAAAGAAGGCAAGAAAGAAGAAAATTTAGGGGGCAGAAATGACAAAGAGAAGGAGGCCAGGTTCACAGAATAGAGCTCGATTTCCTATCCAGCACTTGGGAGGTAGCTCTGCTGCGACCCCTCCTCTCCAGGAGGACCCTGACCCCTCCCATCCTCTCTCAGCCTCCATGCACCAGGAAAAGGGCTCACAAAGTGCTGCAGTTGGGATGGACAAAGGTCATTCATTTTGTCCTTCGGCTCTCCCTGCAACCCTTAATTTACAAAGGGGGGAAAGCTGAGGCCCTGCATAGGGGAATGTGAAACCCCACTCATCTCAGCCCATGCAGAATTTATTTTATTCCCACAGTTCCACTTAGTGTCTGCAAATACCCTTGGAAAGAGTGCCCCCCCCCACATAGTTGTTGATTGAATCATAAAAGTATGGATGCTGGGGTGCCTGCCTGTCCTAGTTACCAGGAAAAGCAAGACAAAGGATTTCCAGACCAGACTTAAGAGAGTCTCATCTCCTCATCTCGCTGAACAAAAAGTAATGAAAGAGTAGGGGCTCTGTTTAAGAAACAAACACCCCAATCTTGCTCTCTCAAAACCTGCATTCTCTTTCGAGTTTGGAGGAACAAAACAGGCTACAAATGAGCAAATAAATAAACGAAAATCTTTCAAAGGGACTGGGGACATGGTTCAGTTCGGCTTGCCTGGCATGAACGTTCCATCTTTAGCACAAGAAAAAAGGCTAAAATGATACCTGATGCTCAGTGAAGCCGGAGTGAGGAGCTCTCAGGTTGAAGTCTGGCCTGTGCTACAGAGCTTGGCCCTGTCCACCAAAGACAAAGGGCTGGGCTGGGCATATAGTCGGGTATAGAGGACTTGGCTGTGCAAGGCTCTGTGTTCTGGTCCCCTACACTCCCAAAAAAGGAGACAAGGACAATTCGTATAATGATAGCAAGATAAGAGGGGCTTAAAATTCAGTGATCAAATCAGGCAAGTTCAGAGGGAGGAAAATTGGTGTGAATTCGGGGCCAGCATGGGAGATAGGAAAGGAAGAAAGAAAAAAAAAAAATGCCAGGCAAGATGGCATTTTAATTCTTTAATCCCAGATGAATATTTTATGAGTTCCAGGCCAGCCTGGTCTACATAGTGAGTCTCAGGACAGCCAGAGAGACCCTGTCTTTAAAAAAAAAAAAAAAAAAAAAAAGTAGGAAAAAAGACTGGTTTGACAGTTCAGTGGGTTAAATCGCTTGCTGCCAACCCTAAAGACATGAGTTCAATTCCCTAAACCCACATGGTGGAAGGAGAGACCTAACTCCAACAAAAGTTGTCCTCTGACTTTCACTTGCATGCTTATGCAAACACACACAATAAATAAAATAAAATTTTGAAATAGATTGATTTCATGAAATAAATTGATTTCATGATTTTTAACAGTACATTAAAAAAAGCCACCTTTGCCAGGTGTGGTGGCACATGCCTTTAATCCCACCACTTGGGAGGCAGAGGCAGGCGGATCTCTGTGAATTCCAGGCCAGCCTGGTCTACAGAGCCAGTCCAGAACAGCCAGGGCTATTACACAGAGAAGCCTTGTCTAGAAGAACAAAAACAAAAAAATCTTTGTTCCAGGGATGGTGGCCATACCTTTAATCCCAGCACTCAGGAGGCAGAGACAGACAGATCTCTGAGTTCTGTCTGGTCTACAGATCGAGTTCCAGGACAGCCAGAGAAAGCCTATTTCAAACACAAAAGCTGCTTTTTGGTGGCCCTCTGGGTCCAGCCTCTTCTAATTCTTAAGAAACTGAGGCTGTGAGGGAATTGGGAACAAATGGAGGTCATCGGGAGTAATCTGCAAGGCCTTCAACAGGGTGTGGCTACTTTAGATAGGTTGGCCAAGGAGGCCCAGGACCCTCAGGAGGACAATTGAGTCCATGCCTGAATAACAATATGAGGAACTCCAGAGCTCAGCCTAGGAATTCACTCAGCTGCCAGAGGACACCTGGGGCAGGTCCTAACCTAAGGAAGCTTGTGGTGGGTGGGTGGAGGAGGACATTCAACAAACAGTTTTACTGTGATATGGTAGATGCCATGAAAAAAAGAGAACCCAGAAAGGATTGGGGGTGGGGCAGGGAGACAATGTCACTCCAATGTGTGCAGGGGAGAGAATTCTTATCTGAGGATGTTTAGGGGTTCAAGAGGGAGGCAGAGAAGGCTGCTGGCCATTTGGTTTTAATGGGAAGCCTGGGGTTAGGAAGAAAGCTGAGGTACAAGAGTATATTTCTGTTTTGTCTCAAACCCTCCCAGACCCCTGGTACCAGGAACACCAACACATCTCAGAGTAGCCAAAAGACTCCCTGGATGTACCCCCACCCCAAGTTCCTGACCCCTTCCCCGTCTTGTTAGTCGGGCTCCTGGCTTTTCTGGGTTCCTTTACAAACCGCAGGTGTTCATATTTATTTATTTATTGAGACAAGATCTCCCTAGATAATATCCTGGTTGGCTTTGGACTCATTGTGTAGACCAGGCTGAAGAGGAAATCTTGGGCAATCTTTCTGCCTATGATTCCAGAGTGGAGTACTGGGATTACAGTGTGTACCACCAAAACCAGCTTTTAAAAATCTATCTATCTATGTATCTATCTGTCTGTCTATTTATTTATTGCAGGGTCTCATGTAGTCTAAACTAGCCTTTAACTCCACAATCCATATGCCGAGATTACAGATTGCCAAGGCCCACCCCGCCTTCCCAGGCCTGCATACTGCCCTGCTTGCTCAGTCCTGGTATAAGGGCGAAAACTGAAGCCCTTTTCTGGGGTAACCTTGCCCCCTTCCCAGCTTCATTCTGCCCGTGGCTCTTGTCAGCACCAAGCGTACTCTATATGCTATGAAACAGTTCCAGCTGGCCTGGAATTTGTAATTCTTGGGCTCCTGAGTAGCTCTGAATACCAAGAAGCACCGAGCACTGGGGTAGTGCAGTTGGGGGTTGGGGGTCAAGGTTTACAGTCATTCTTTTTGTTTGATTGGTTTGTTTCTCGAGACAGGATTTCTTGCTGTCCTGAAACTCTCTCTGTAGACCAGGCTGGAGTTCGAATTCCCGGGCAACGCGCCGGCCTCTGCCTCCCGAGTGCTGGGATGAGAGGTGTGTGCCACTGCACCCGGCTTTACAGTCATCTTAGGCGGAGTCTCGCTCTCGCTGCCACCCCCTCGTTATAAGGGTTAGGCAACGGTTTCTTCACTGCTGGTACTGTAGTACTGAAGAAATGGGGTGCCGCAGTCTGGGATGTAGCCCAGTGGGGAGAGTGCTTGCCAAGAGTGCAAGGAGATGCCCAGGACCACATAAAATAGGTGTAAGGCCAGCGCTGGAGAGCTGGAAGCAGGAAGACCAAAAGGTCGAATTCATCATCCGTTACAAAGCCTGTTCTGGCCTAAAAGACAAAAAGAAGAAAAAAAGCAAGAAAGAGAGGAAGGAAGGAAGGAAGGAAGGAAGGAAGGAAGGAAAAGAAAAAAGAAAGAAAGGAGCGAGAGAGAGAGAGGCAGAGAGAGAGGAAGGACGGAAGGAAGAAAAAGGTTTAAAGAGTGAAGTTTTCTTAGTATACTTCCCGTCTAGTGAGAGACGTCCAGCACTTCTCGCTCGGGGCGTGAGGCGCGGCATTCTGAGCCTCGGGTATCACCAGCGGTAGGGTAGGTTCGGGACCAGCTCTTTGCACCCTCCCAGGTGAAACCGACCCCGGCCGAGGAGAGCCTAAATTGCGCACCGGTCCTCGGGCAGCAGGCTGGGAGGGGAAGGTCGCGTTTGACCACTGAGACTGGCCTCTCAAGATCCCGCCCCCAGTGGGCGGAGCCAGACAGGGCCAGCACGTGTAAAAAGTTCGGCGCGGGTAGCGGCGGGCCACTCACCTGAGCGTCCGGCCGCGGAGCGGGTTGCACGGATCTGCACCCTCGCCCCATGTCCCGCCGCAAGGCCGGCCGCGTGCCACGCCGTGTAGACCCCGAGCCAGAGAACGACGACATGGAGACGCCGGACCTCGTCATTGATGTGAATCCGGAGCAAGACGCGAGGGCCGTGGCGCTGGGGCCCTGGTTCCCGAGGGACTTGTCCATGCCGGGGCTCCTCAGTGCGGAACGTAACCTCGACACCGTCCCGTGTCCCCTCGGCGCGCCCAGCACGTGTGCCCCGTGGATGCCGCTGACCTTTAAGCCTTCCGGTGAGTTCCCAGCCCTCGCCCCTGCGCGCATCGGGACCTTCGAGGGGGTACCTCCCTGTCCAGGGGCCCAACCCGTCTGGCGTCCCCAGCCCTCGCCCCTGCGTGCACCGGGACCCTCTGGCGGGTGCCTCTCTTCCTCGGGACCCACCTGGTGTTCCCAGCCGTCGCTCCTGCGTGCACAGGGACCCTCCGATAGGTACTTCTCCCTTCGGGATGGCCCCGCGACCGGCCTGGCCTCCCCAGTCCTCGCCTATGATCTCTGGGTTTCCCCTCTCCACGTTGGAGCCCTCACCCCTAGATGGGCCCCACCCAGCCGCTTACCACCTGCTTCCTCCCTGCAGACCGCCAGCCCTGGACCAACAAGCACCCAGATCTGTTGACCTGTGGCCGCTGCCTGCAGACCTTCCCATTAGAGGCTATTGTCGCTTTTATGGATCACAAAAAACTGGGCTGTCAGCTCCTCCAAGGCTCCGGTCCCATCTCAGGTAAAAAAAGTCGGGATACATACTGTGCCCCTCTCTGATCCAAGGTTGGGCTTCCTGCCCTGCGGAGAGGGGACTAAGGTGGACAGATGGGGCACAGACCATTACTTCCCCTTTTCCCCTTGCTCCCCCCTCAGGGCAGAACCAAGGCGTGGCTTGGGCTTGCCTGTCCTAGGGCAGGGACTAGAAGTGGGGCGGGGGCTTGCAGCCGAGGAAGGCCACCCACAAGGTGTGGCCAGCCCCAGAAGACTGGCCCAGGGTTTTGCCATACACCCCTAATTTAGTTTCACTTCTCCTTCCCCATAAACAGAAATAACTGGCCAGGTGGCTGGACCAGGGTTGGCAGTAGAGGGACCTGGAGAAGGATGGGACAGGGGCCCCTGGGAGACGGGTGTAGGCAGCAGGAATGGAGGTTACCACACCTACTGTTCAGAGCCAGGGTGGGGGCTTCTGGCTCTTCTGCCCCTTTCTGGGATCTCCCAGCTGAGCATGGGGAAGCCCCTGCTCTGGGCGCTGGATACTCAAGCGTTGTATATGGAGGAGGAATGAAAACTGTGTGGTACTTGGTCTGTGCAGTGAGTTCTTGCTGGGTATGAGATGCAGGGACTTGATCTGAACTTGAATTTCCAGCCCCCAGCTCATGTGATGCCAAGGTGGAACTTGGGAAATGGAATTATATTCAGGGCTGGGCCAGGGAGGGTCTATAATCCAATCAGCTTTAGTTAAGGGAGGGGCTGAAATGGAATCACCTGAGTGACTTATGGATGCTTGGAGTGGAAGGGTCATTGCTGCATTTAACCTCTTAGACAGGGTCTCACCTCCTAGCCTAGGCAGGGGAGGGTTGGGCGGGAGGGGGGCTGGTGTGTTATTTTTGAGACAGGGTCTCTACCTATCCTTGACTGCCCTGGAACTCTAATGTAGACCAGGCTGGCCTCCAGTTCACAAAGACCTGTCCACCTCTGCTCCCCATTGCTGATTAAAGGCCTGTGCCGTGCCACCACCCCTGGTTTACTTTTTTGTGGGTGTTTTGGTATCTGAGGCTCAGCTCATGTTTGTTGCCAGCTTAGAGGGACCAAAGCTCCAGCTGTTTCCTATTTTCGGTCACAACCCTGGAAGGTTCTCCTCAGATTCCCATAGGCTAGCAGCTTAGGAAAACCGAGGCACGGAGAGACGAGGTCTTGGTCAAGATTACACAGCTAGAAAGGGTCTTGAGTTTGACAAGTCTGCTTTGTTTAGCTTTGGCCTATGGAATCAAAAAGGCTAACCCATCCAGGACTGTCTGCAATTTGGGCTGTCTAAATCAAAGTCAAACTGGTCTGTGATGTGTCCTGTAGTTTTACACCATGAGTATAGAAAAATGTCTAATTTGGAATCCAGACATTAAGTAGTGTGTGTGCTAGGCCCAGCTGAGGTTTCACTCTGAGGTCTGCTTTTTGAGACCCTGTCCCTTTACAGCTCAGGAGGTTCCCTGAGGGCAGCATCAGCGGCCCCTGCAGGCTTCTGGGCTTGCTGGGTTGGTGCTCCTAACCTGGCAGTGATTCCCTGTCTCTTCCTCCCTCTCTTCCAGAATCCAAGGAGCTGAAGGTTCTGAGCTGCCTCCGCTGTGGCAGACAGTTCACCAGTGCTTGGAAGCTGCTACGCCACGCTCAGTGGGACCACGGGCTATGTATCTATCAGACAGAATCGGAGGCCCCCGAGGCTCCCTTGCTGGGCCTGGCTGAGGTGGCTGCAGCCATGTCAGTGGCGGTGGAGCCAGTTAAGACCAAGCTCCCCGCAGTGGGTAGTGCTGCCCGGAAGAGCCCCACCTGCCCAGTGTGCAAGAAGACCCTCAGCTCTTTCAGCAACCTCAAGGTCCATCTTCGCTCCCACACTGGTGAGCGACCCTATGCCTGTGACCAGTGTTCCTATGCCTGCACTCAGAGTAGCAAGTTGAACAGACACAAAAAGACGCACCGGCAGCCCACACCCGGGAGTCCCTGCACCCCAGTCAATAGCCGGGGCGTATCCCCAGCAGCCCCTCCTGAACCAGCTGCCCACGCAGCTGCTCCAGCCAGCACAGTTCCACGCCAGAATGTGGAGAAGGCTGGGGCTGCAGCCACAGCAGGAGTCCAGGAACCTGAGGCCCCTGGCAGTGGAGCTCAAGCGGGTTCTAGTGGTGTTGGCTGGGGACCCACTACCAAAGCAGAGAGGACTGAGCCTGTAAAGAGCCAGAAGACAACGCCCAGGAGCAAGAGCAGTGGTTCCAGCAGCAGCTGTGACTTCTGTGGGAAGCACTTCACCAACAGCAGTAACCTGACAGTGCACCGGCGCTCCCACACGGGGGAGCGGCCCTACGCCTGTGACCAGTGTCCCTATGCCTGTGCCCAGAGTAGCAAGCTCAACCGCCACCGTCGCACGCATGGTCGGGGGCCTGGCAACACCCTTTACAAGTGCCCACACTGCCATGTGCCCTTTGGACTGCAGGCCACACTAGATAAGCACCTGCAGCAGAAGCACCCCACGATGGCCTGAGACCCCACGATGGCGTTGGCGCGAGAACAGTTTTATACAATTCTATCACCTTTATGTCAATAAAGCATCTTCTATTTATCCATGTGCCTGAACTCTGGCTTTCTTCAGGTGTCTGAGGTGGGAGGCTCCCCCTCCATAGTATGGACAGCTGGACAGACCGGTTTGGAGTGGGGGTGAATGCCCTGGGCACTGGAGGACTGGCACAAAAAGCCGTGCTCCCGGTTCTTGGTGTGGGTGAGGCCGGGGGCCAGGCAAGGGCAGGGAGAGGCCTGGACCTGTCACCAGAGGCCCCTGGGCACAGTCCAGTCCTAGCCCGTCATCCACTGGCCCTGTCCACACATGCCAGTCTGGGCCCTTGACTGGATTGGCCCCTGCAGGCCCCACTCACCACACCCTGCAGGCTACAGCACCTGCAGCGATCCTCAGCTGTACGTGGACGGAAAGTCCTACATCAATCAGGCCAACAGGCGGTGAAGGGCATTAAATAATGTTAGCTTTTATTTCACTCCAGAAACCCAGCAGCCTCACAGCCCCCAACTCAGTCCTCCGCCTAGTGTCTGTAATGCGGGCTCCGGGACCGGGACCTGGAGCGCCTGCAGAGAAGGGAAGACTTTGAGGGTGGGATGCTGGGAGCCTCCCTCCCATGCACACATGCATCAACATGCCTGGAGGTTGGACTGCTGGGGAAGGAGTGTCTTCCCAAGGGAACAAGTCTAGCCCCACCACATGAAGGGCTATCGGGGAGGAAGGACATGGGGGATTTGGAGGGTCACCATTGGTGGCTGGGCCAGCAACCTCACCTTCGGGAAGAACTGTACTCTCGACCTGAAAAGAAAATGAGGGTGATGCCAACTAGCCTCTGCTGGGCCATGTTGGAGCCTGTGGCTCACCTGTGCCAGGCTCAAGCCTCTCCCCCGACACTTAGCAAGGGACCTCAAGGAATGCCTTACTTTTTTTGTTTGTTTGTTTTGAGACCAGGGTCATACTATGTAACTCTGGCTAGCCTGAAACTAGCCATAGTGACCAGACTGGTCTCACACTGAGAGATTCTCCCATTTCTGGCTCCTCAAGACATATGCTTGACAGTTGGCTGTCTAGGACTTGGTTGGTTTTTCGAGACAAGGTTTCTCTGTGTAGCCTTGGCTGTCCTGGACTCACCTTGTAGACAGGGCTGGCCTCAAACTCACAGAGATACACCTGCCTCTGCCTCCCAAGTGCTGGGATTATAGGTATGTGCCACTACACCCAGGTTGTCTAGGACTTTTACAAATGATAAGTCAATCTCCCTGTATAATCTAGGCTGCTCCCAAACAACAAATCAAGCAATCCTCCTGCCCCAAAGTGCTGGCCTCTTTTTTGTGTCGACAGGTGTATATGTGTGTGTGAGTGTATGGGGGTGTGGGTGGGGGTCTTGCTTTGTAGTCCAGGCTGACCCTGATGTTGACCCTTCTGCCACAGTCTCCTGGCTGCGAGACTGGTTTCTTCACAGAACCCTGACTGACCTCTACCTCTGGGGTGCTGGGGTCACAGAAGACCTGGCTTCTTTCTAATAACCCGGCAGCAGGCCTGGCTCTCCAGCCCCTGGCCCTGCAGGAAGGGCAGAAAGACTCACTGTATCGTGGGGAGGGTGAGCGGCTCTGGCGGCTGTACTGGCGCTCCCACTCTTCTCTCTCCTTCTCCCGTCGCTCTCGCTCCCTGCAAGGGGAGAGGGGAGGCAACCAACAGGGAGGGGTGAGCACCTGCTGGGCTGGACAACACCTCTGCCTGGCCCAGGAGAGCCAGGCCTCCTCGTATGCTGAGGTTTCATCAACTGTCTCCCCACGCCAGGACCGTGAACCCTGGTAGCTGCCCTCTTCGCACCCAATTCTCTCAGGGGCCTTTTAGAGGAACCATGACCCTGTCCAATGGACAGCAGAGCAAATGAGGCTCAGGCAGGAATGGGGCAGACAGGGAGTGAGGGGAAGTGGCATGGAGGGGCCAGGGAGTTTTGGGATACCATTCAGGCATGAAGTCAGAAGGTGAGGGGCCTAGGGCATCTGGGTAAGAGGCTGCCAGAACAGGAGAGCCATGACAATGGGCCTGGGGACCAATGAAAGGAGCAGGGCTCCAGCAGCAGGAGGCTGGGTCTACCACAGGTCGGGGCCTTACTTCATTCGGATCTTCCGGGCCATGGCTCGAAGTTCATCCTCTCGCTCCTGCAGCAGATAAAGCGGTGAGGGATGGCCCAGCCTTACCCCACCTGAGCGGCCCTCCCCTCTGAGCCTCGCCTGACCTGGCGCTCATGCTCCTGTTGGATCATCTTCTCCTGAGCCGCCTTCTTATCCGCCTTGACTGTGGAGGAAGGGTGTGAGGCTGAGGGCTGTCCTCGCAGTCCCCACACCGCCCTGGCCTGCTTAGGCAGGCTGAGAGATCAGCCCGCTCTTCCCCACAGCACTGGCTGGGCTGGCGCAGGACTTACACTGGCGGTTCAGGGCCTTCTGCATCCGCAGCTTCAGCCTTTCCTGTGGGGTCAGCTTGGGCTGCGGGAGAAGGGGTGAGATAGGCGTGGGTGCCCAGAGCTCACCTTGCCCACCTCAGCCAAGAGCCTGGGACTTGGGGCCACCTGGAGCCCCGTGGGAGGCAGGGATAGGACTGCATTTGCTGGGTAGCCTTTCCCCGGTCCCTGGGCTGGCTCTCCCCTCCCCCTGGGCCCCCTGCAGGCCCACCGGGCCCAGCTCTGGACACTGCTGCTGACGGGAATTAGACGGGCGAGTTCCAAATTCTTACTGACTTTGGCAGCTCCTGTCTCTTTACCAGCGGCAGGTTCGGTCCTGGGTGGGAGGAAATGGTGGTGACACTCTTACCATAGGGCTCAGGACTGCCATCAGCCATGGGCTCAACCCCTCAGGATGTGTTCCTGAACCAAAGAACCTAGGCAGGACCACATCCCTCTCTGGCCATGATGGCACTGAACCCACACTGCAGGGCTCCTCTCCCAGGGTGGCCAGGGCAGTGTCACATTTCTTCCCAAATGAACGGAGCACAGGTCACCCTAGGCAGCAGCCAGGCCCCTACTCACTTTTTCAGCTTCTCGCCCACAGCAGGGGATGCTGCCGGCCTGGTCAGCTTCTCCCTTGGGGGCGATGGTGAGTGACTGTGGCTCTGGCTGTGGCTGCGGCTTCTGCTCCGGCTCTGGCTTCGGCTTCCACTACGGGTCAGACTGCGGCTTCGGGAGGGGCTGAGGGACCAGCTGCTGCGGCTACGACTGCTACTATGGTGCCTGGGTCCCCGGGCACTCCGCTTATAGCGGTCACCTGAACGGGAGCGGCTCCTAGGTAAAGCAAGGAGAGGGCTGTGAGGCTCCAGGGCCTACAGGAAGTCACTGCAATCTCCAAGTCCACAGGCCTCCTGCAGAGTTGAACACTGCTCTAGAACACAGCCAGCACCCTACACCACTAGCATGCTGGACCAGGCTCTCTCCCTCACTGGACACTCAGCTGCTAACTTCCTGGGGGAGCCTTTGGAAGGCCCAAGTCAGGACGCTCAGGTGCTTCCCTTTGCTCCATACCTGTGGTGCTCCCTACCCCAGTCGCCAGCACTGTCCCTAAGCTCTGGACAGGTTGTACAGGCCCAGGGCTTCTCTGCTTAGGGCACTAGTGGTATTCTCAACATAGCGGTCACCCTCGCTGGCATTCAATTTGTGATAGGCCCTATTTTCCTCTCCGGCCTTTCCCTTGTTGTCCTGCTACAGGGAAGCCCCAGATGATTTCTGAGCCCATAATGAATCTCCTGGGGCTGACTAGTACTTGTCATCAGTACTGAGCATGTACCCAGGACACAGTACTGAGCTACCAGGCAGGAAACACGCACTCTCAGCCTCTCTAGAGCAACAAGATGAGGGAGCCAGGACTGTACCTGGCAGTCAGTGGCTGATGACCTGTAGAGGACTCCTGGCCTTTGCTCTTGCTCCAGCTCCCACGGCAAACACCAGGAGACTGGCAGCGACTCTGTGGCAGCACATACCCAGGGCAGGGTCTACTCTGAACACTAAGTGATGACTTTTCTACAGCTCAAGAAACCCAGCTGCGCCTCTAAGCATGGACCACTGTCCACACTCTGCCCCTACTCCTGCAATTTCCCCTACCAAGCCGAAAAACAGTCACAGCCGACTCCTGTCCCTGGGAACCCTCCTCTTCTACAAAGGCTGTTGCCCCGCCGAGGTTCCCAGGTCCTGCAGACTGGGAAGTCCATGCAGAAGCTTAGATGCCTCCGTGCCCCGCCCACCCTGTCCTGCTTCCAGTCACATGCTTCCTGAGAGTCAGTCTGTCCCCAGCCCTCACCCCCAATGCCCGCATCCGCCCCAACACAGAGCACAGACCTACTCCTGCGGCGGGGCGCGTACCCGCCGCGCCGGGCTGGAGAGCGCGAGTAGCGGTGCCCGTCGCGGGAACCGCCGTCTGAGTGCCGTCGGCCGCGGCTGCGGGAGCGTGAGTAGCGCCGGGAGCGGGAGCGCGAGCGGGACCAAGAACGAGAGCGGGAGCGCGCGTGGCGACCAGAGCGGTAATATCCACGGCGAGAACGCGAGCTGGAGCGCGAACTGGACCGGGAGCTGGAGGTCCTGGAGGCGGAGGACGAGGAGGAGCGGCGGCTGCGGGAGCACAGACCCATTAGCGCCACCCCTGGAGGGCCCTTCCTCCTCCCAGCGGCCAGCTAGGGCGGGCGCTACCGACCGAGCGCTGGCATTACGGCCTGGAGTCGGGCCGCCGGGCTGGGGAGGTGCGGTGGGCTTCCCTGGGGCGGCCCCAGATGCAGCGGCCGCCGCTGCGGCAGCAGCTGCCTCCTCATCGCTGCCCCCGAAACTCGTGATAAAAGTGATCTTTTCCTCGCGGCCTGGGCTCGGGGAGCGAGAGCGAGAGCGGGACTCGGAGCTGGATTCCGAAGGTGACCTGCAGGGGGAGGGCAGGCAAAAGAGAGGCAGGACTCAGGGCCCCAGCTGCACCAGGTGGGCAGTGTGAGTTCAAGGCCAGCCTGGTGTACATCTAGAGCGAGGTCAAGACCAGCCAGAGCTATGTAGAGAGACCTTGTCTCAAACATAAATAAGTTAATAAGTCTGCAGCTGGTGGGTGACTGAGCAAGTGAAGGCCCTTGTCCCCAAGCCTGACAACTTTAGGCCAATCCCATAATCCACATGGTAGAATGAGAACTGACTCTAAACTGTCCTTTTCCCTCCAGCCCTGAGGCATGTGCATCGCCCCCACCCATACAATTAAATATAACTTTTCAAAAAAAACGAAAATGGGCCGGTGAGAGTAGCATAGTTCCAGCACTAGGAAGGCTGAGGCTGGCACATCTCTTGACTTTGACGCCAGCCTGGTGTACACAGAGCTCCAGGACAGCCAGGGCTACATGAGAGTCCCGGTCTCCATAAATAAACAAACACGAAAAAAGAAAGTGGCTTTACGAGTCACTTAAAGAAGTGACTCGCCTCTGCAAGAGACCTGGAGTTCCCCTAGAACATCAGCGAACACACTGAAAATTCTGAGGTCTTCCTGTTTAACCCAGAAAATGAGTCCTCAGTTGTTGTAGTTTAATTCCACTCCCTTTTGAGCAAGGCAGCCAAACAAAAGGCCCCTGACCCACCAGGTCTCACCCTCTGACCAAAAGAGAGCTGCCAGAGGGTGGGAAATTAGATTGGACCTCCCTCTACCACCCACCATCCTTGGACAACACCTAGGACTTACATTTGGTGCTTGCTGGGGCCCCTGTCAGTGCCTGGCATTGCTCACTAATCCTGGGAGTCTGTGTTAAAGACACCCAATCTCCATGTCCCTCTATGCCATATTTGATTACATCACAAGCTTATATATTAACATTGGAAGAAAAGGAGATTCTGAATTAAATGAAAAAACAAAACTGATGTAGACCCAACCTCCACCCACAGACCACAGGATGCCATCTGCGACAGGAGTGACCCAACAGGTCAGCCACGAAGATGGCTTCTTCCTGGACACTGACACTTACCGCTTATAGGGGTCATAGGTGGGGCTGTCCCGGCGGGCATAGCTATGGAGACAACAGGAAGGACAAGGGAGCTGAGACTGGGCTGGTGTGAACCTGGGCCCATCCCACTCAAAACCCCAGTGCTGCAGACTGTATAACCCGACTGTCCCCTCCTCACAGCAGAAGGCTTTAAACAACCACAACCGCAGCAAAGCTGGCATGAAAACAGGCTGCCTAACCTAGGGACCCATCTGATTATTCACTCATAGGGGAGGAACAGGCCCAGAGCGGGCAAGTGACCTGCCTGGGATCACACCGTTCATGAGGGAAGGAGCCAGGATCCCAGCTCAGGTTCGTGACCTCCACCTAGCATTTTTTGGTCAGTACACTGACAGGGTCACTTAACTAAAAGCAAGGACCATGAGAATCAGGACTACCTAGCCCTGAGAAATTTAAATCTTAGACCAACTTGCAATCTCTCTCCTTTATCAGACATTTGCCTAGGGCTACCAGGCCCAGATTCTCCTCATATACAACTGCTCTACTCAACTCTCACTTCCATGTGGGAAGTGTCCCAGGCCCCTCTCCTCGTGTCTGAGGGTGCCACACTTTGCAAAGGAGGAGATGGTAGCTAGAAGAAAGGAGCCATTTATCTAGATACTGAGCGGCACAAGTAGACTGTGATTGGGGCCCTGACTCCTGGCCACGATCATTCCAGCCATCTCTAGCAGCATCCTGTCTGCTCCCCAAGAGTCCCCAATGCAACAGTGTGATGTGACAGGCACAGGTGGTAGAGGACAGCACCCACCTCCTCCAGGGCTACTCTTAGCAGCGTTAACTCTAAGTGCATCATTAGAACAAGTCTTTGCTGAAGCCAAGGCTAAGCTCCACTCTTGAGCCCCTGGCTGGTGAGTATGGTTGCCCAGAGGAGAAATCCTACCTGGGAGGACTGATCTTTCGGCCCCTCAGGCGCTTCTCCCGGAACTCTCTTCGCTGTCGCCGGGACCGACGACCCTGGAAGGGGAGGACCAAAATGGTGAGGAGTATGCTCTCACTGGAGATACACCTTGGTCCCCTGTACCCTACCCAGACCTCACCGAGTACATGGCTTTCTCCTCCTCCAGGGCCTTGGCATGTTTGATGGCTTCTGCCTCCTCCTTGTCTTTCCGTAGCATCCTGCAGAGGAAGTGGGAATCGGTAGGAAGGCCACAGGTCACAGAGTGAGCCGAGCCCTGGTAAAGGCAGCAAAGATGGCAGGGAGCTATTGCTGCTCCATGGTTCTTGGATAACCCTGCCTTTCTCCCTGTGTCAGGGCACTGCTATTACAGACTGGCTGCTCCAGAACTCATGAGGGGATCCTCTTAGCTACGGGATGTGCAGGCATGCATTGCCCTGCCCTGCCCTTTGATGGGGTCTTGTTCTGTAGCTCAGGCTGGCCTGGAACTTACTACCCAGGCTGGCTTTCAACTCATGATCTTCTTGCCTCCGCCTCTAGACTGCAGAATCATAGGTGTGTTCCACTACACCAAATTTCTTTGATATATTCAACAGATTTTATTGAACATCTAAAATAACTGGTTTTAGATCTGTTTTGTGAGTTTTTGCCTTCAAGTATGTCTGTGTATTGTGTGTGCCTGTTGCTCCTGAATTGGTCCCCAGTCCCCAGGAACTGTTTGTGAGACACAGGTTGCTTCTGTGCTGGTTTAGGAGAGAATAGTTTGGCACTCAGGGCCGGAGAGATGGCTCAGGTTAAGAATGTCTACTGCTCTTCCAGAGGACTTGAGCTCAGTTCCAGTACCCACAGCTGATGGCTCACAAATGCCTGCAACTCCAGCTCTAGGGGACCCCACCCCCTCTTCCGGCCTCCACAAATACCTCGCTTGGCTTGCACATGATGCACAGAACTAACTACACATAAGCAAAACACTCATACACATAAAATTAAAAACAAAACAAGCTGGGTGTGGCTACTCTGTGCCTCTAACTGTAAAGTTGAGGCTGGGGCTTGCCAGCCATCAGCCTAGCTCCAGGTTCAGTGACAGACCCCACCTGGATGAGGTGACAGCAGTACACCTGACATCCTCCTCTGGTATCTGCACGGGCAATGCAACAGTATGCTCATGTGTACACATACGACACACATCACATGTTTAAAATAGGATTCTCTTTAAAATAATTTTTTTGGCCAGGTGGTGGCAGCGGTGGCACACACCTTTAATCCCAAATGGTAAAAGCACCAGAGCAGCAGTTCTTAACTTGTGGGTCACAACCCCTTTGGCAAACCTCTATCTTGAAAAATATTTACACCACAGTTCACAGCAGTACCAAAATTACAGTTAAGAAGTAGCAACAAAAATTTTAAGGTTGGGGCTGGAGAGATGGCTCAGTGGTTAAGAGCACTGCTTGCTCTTCCAGAGGACCTGAGTTCAAGTCCCAGCAACCACATGGTGGCTCACAACCCTCTATAATGAGATCTGGTGCCCTCTGCTGGTGTGCAGGTGTACATGCAGGCAGAACATTGTATACATAATAAAATAACTAAATCTTAAAAAAAAAAAATGTAAGGTTGGAGATCAGCACAATGTGAGGAAGTGTATTAAAGGGGCGCAGCTTTAAAAGGAACCGCCAGGCTAAAAGGTTCTGGGCTCAGACTTGGGCAAGGACACAGGACTGACCCCTAGGATCACTGAGGTGCAGAAAGCACTGGGTTGGCACCGCCAGGCACAGGCAGCGCCAGGCACAGGCAGCGCAGAGGCTCCATATGCGTGGTCACAGGAAGGAAGCAAAGCAGAAAGAGACCACTAGAGGGTGCTGTCCCCCAACAACTAGCAGCTTCCAGGTCTGCGGCCACAAATTCACAGTTGACAGGGTGACAAGGTCAGCTTTTGGTATGAGGGATATGATACAGAAGCCAGAGCAAGACCAGAGTCTGGCATGTCAGCCAGCATCCTCACCTGACAAAGTCCCCGTCGGCCATGCCATAGGTGGTGGCCTGCTTATTGAGATCAGCCACCTGTTCCTGGTTCAGCTCATCCACGTCCACCTCCACGTCTACACCAAGAGAAAGGCTGTCAGGGACCCAAGCCCATGAGAAGACGGAGGTGGGGAGCACCCCAAGTCAGGGCAGGTCTGCCAGGTGGAGCACCTTTAGGGAGGACGTAGCTGTGCTGGCTCAGCTGTGAGGCCCACGGTGGGGCCTGGCCAGCACAGCACACTGCACAGCAGGGACCAGTGGGGATGAGTGGCTGGGGTGCAGGAAAGAGAAGAGGATGGGTGGTAGAAAGAGAAGGAGGTGGGATGGGCATCAGAACAGCATATGGAGGGAGGGCAGGAAGGACGGACATGAACATTGGCTCTGCCTGGGGCTAAGCCCACACGTGCACCAGAAAGAGTAGGATGGAAAGGGGACAGACAGTAGCCTTCTCGCTGAGGATGTCCGTGGGAGGAAAGGTGGTGAACATGGGGGATGAGTGACAGAGGATGAGGGGCAGCTCTAGGAAAGGAGAGGGTTAGTTTCCCAGGGCAAGGGAAGCTGACCCCAGGCAGGAGAGGAAGGGCTGCTCCTAGGTAGGAGCCAGCTTGTAGAAATAGTACCCAGAAATGAATAGGGGAAGGGACAGGGAAGGCTGGAAGGCTCCTTTCAACAAGGAAAGAATAGGAGGCTGAGGCCCTGGAGCTGAGGCAGGGGGAAGGCCCTGTGAGCACGGGTACCCCATAGAGGGTGAGGGACGAGAGACAGAACCGATGCCCGGGGACTGCAGGTGGGGAGGGCAGAGAGGGGACCCCACCGATGTCGGGGATGACCTCATCTTCATCCGAGTTGCTCTCCTCCTCTGCTGGTGAGTCCTCCTCCTCTGGCTTCTCAGCTGCCTTCTCTACCTCAGCCACAGTGCTATCTTCATAGGTGTAGCCAATGGAAGCCTTCTTCTCTGCCAGCCTGGGAAAAAAGCCATGAAATGAGCCAGGGGTACCCACCAGCCACAGGGCCACAGGCAAGCCTCACAGCGGACCATGAGTCCTTGGTAACATGTGTCCATCTAAGCTGCTCCCCTGCCTAAGGCCTGGTCCTTCCCATTTCCTCTTCTTCCAAGACATCCATCCTCCTTGTTCACTCTCCCGCCTGGCAGGCTGCCCAGCCTTGCCCACATTGGCTTACTCGTGTCAGGAGACAAGCCGTCTGCACAGGTGATGAGTCCCAAGATGCAGATCCCAGAGTCATCTTGGGCAAAATGTGCCCACACTCTGCTTGCAGAGGCCACACTCTGCAAGGCTACTGCTGACTACTCAGCAGAGGCTGCTGCTGACTTCAGCATATACCCTGCCTCATCCCAACACCCTTATCCTGAAGCCAAGGCTTGAGTGTCAGGAAGAAGATCCTGTAACTAGGTGGTCCCAAACCTAAGCAAGACTCCAACTACAGCCAGTGCCCAGCCAGGCTGGCCTTTGAGATGGCCGGCAACCCTGGGCTGAGGCCGCCAAGCCCCTGCAGTGACATCAGTGTCTGGGGTAGCAAGCTCACTGCAGGCAGGCAGGCACCAGGAAGAGTGCACGACACCCCATCCCCTTTGCACCTCGCAGCTCCCGACTTAAGGATGACTACAAGGGGCTGCCTGCCCTCCGCCCTCCCCCCAACGACTCACACTCAGGTGGACTCCACACAGGGCTCCCACTCTGCAAAGTGGGGGGGACAAGCTGGGTACTGCCTGTCCACTGGTGCTGCCTCTTCCTCGCCACATAAATGGCGGCAGCACCCATCGACGGCTAGCTACACAGTCCCGCTCCAGAAGACTAAAGTGATGGAGTGGGAGGGGGCCAGTCCCACCCCATCAGGCCAGCCCCTGACTCACTTCTTCTTCTCATCCTCGCTGGGTCTCTGCAGGCCTCCATACAGTTCATCAATGTAGATCTGATACAAGCACTGTTCCTCTGAGACTGGCAAGGAGAGAGCCCACAGGTCAACATCACCAGGCACGTGCAAATGGAATGGGACACAAAGATGCAGGAGGGGATGGGAGAGGGGCATCCACTTCTAATTACTCTTCTGTCTAGGACCCAAGTGCCACAATTATCAGCCAGACAATCCACTCACCCTGTGATCTTACTCAAGTGATGCTAACCCTTTACCCCTTATGCCTCAGTTCCTTCGTCTATAAAATGTGTCCCTGACAGTGGGTACTTGGGATTATGGCCCTACTGCTGTTACTGGGCCTCTCATCTCCAGAACCCTAAGTGTTGGATGTCATCTGAACCCCACTGGTCGTCATGCCAGGTGGTCCTGTGGGTTGGTTTATATTAATGGGGTATCTGACGATTATGCTGTCCTACATCCGCAGCACTGACTTCAAGAGCTCCCCAGGGTACTGGGCCAGCCCTGGTCTCCCACTTTGGGGCTCAGGTGAGTCCTTTCCTTTCCTTTCTTTTTAAAAGGTGCAGGTGGGGAGGACACTGCAGATTAAAGACCTTGTGCAGGCCACACACGCCCCCATGGAACCACATGCCCAGTTCTCTTTTTGAGACAGGGTCTCACAGAGTTGTTCAGATTGCCCCAGACAAGCCTTTACCTGAGATCCCCCTGCCTCAGCCTGTGCAGCAGCTCTGGTGCTGGGCCACCATACCAGCCTGAGTGCTTCAATGTTTCTGTCTGTGGCATCAGGAGTCTGCCCTAGGTAACACATCACGGCCCTTCCCTGGCTGTGACAGACACCTGACTCCTGCCTAGTTTCCACATCCTAGAAGAGGGCCCTGCTGCCCTCTTGCACAGCTCCCTGTCCTGTCTTCAGTCTTGGTACCCCAGGACCTCTGTGTGCCCTATTCAGGGACTGGAATCAGCACCTCACCCTGGCCCAGCAGAAAGCACATGTCTATCCCACTCTGCCTTACTTCCCTTTAGGAACACTTGGAAGCCATCTCTGACACCACCTAGGTTTGCTGTTAAACTGCTTGTGTGACCATGTGGCAGCCCTCTGTTCACCACTGAGCCCGTGGCCCCAGAACAGCACAGGACACACTGTTTGCAGAAGTGAATGGAGAACTAGGGGAAGCTCTGGCTCCAGCTCCAAGGAACCATGTGCCTGGACTGACAGCAAGAAAAGCAGCACCAATGGTGACAAATGACAAACTTCTGGACCCTAAGGCTGCACTGGCTTCTAGAGTGTGGCAACCTTTATTTGGAAACACATAAAAGCACCTAAGAACCACAGGAGTCCGGCACTAGTGAGCCAGCGTACAGGGCCACCTGTGTCAGCTTGAAGCAAGGCTTGCCATTTCACAGGGACGAAAATGAGACCTGCCAGGACAGAGGCTTGTATGTGGATGATCCTGGCCTAGGACTCCCACCAGGGAGCTCTCCATGCTTGGGCAGAGGCAGGCGTGACCACGGGGAAAACTTCCTTTGCACAGACACCTCTGAGTGCTGTCTGTAAAATGAGGCATCAAGCTGGCAGCGGTTCTTGCCTATAGTCCCAGCACTGGGGAGGGTGGGGCAGAGGGATCACGAATTTCAGAGCAGCTTGGGCTACAGAGTAAGATCATGTCTCAGACATGAAAAGGGAAAAATAACCCAAGGTCTACCAGTGCAGCTCAGCAGGCGAGCACCGCCCTAGCACCAGTGTGTGGCCCCGGATCATCCCCAGTGCCACAAAACAGACTGGAAAGGGAAACTACAGAGTGGTGTGCCCTGCTAAAAGCCATGCACAGGCACAGGCAGGGTTCCACCAGCTCTGTGCGCAGTACTAGGGACGGAGGCAGTCTGTCTGTGCATGTACGGCATGTGCACAAGTAACATAGCATGCGTGTGGCCATCGGGGGCAATTCAGGAGTCAGGCTTTCAACGGTTCCCCAGACACATGCAGGTTCCCTAACAGAGAAGCCTGCCCATGCGGATCTGCCCTCCTGGGGAAGCCCAGTGGGAAAGTCCTTGTCTCCTCGACCCTCTGGACCCCGCCTCTCATTCGCAGAAGGGAACAGGGAAGGTCAGACTTGGCATGTCCAAGGAGCTCAACACTGGGTCAAGACTGTCGGGCTCTGTACACACAGGAAGAGCTTTCTGTGACCCTCACCCATGTAGTGAGTACATGCATGACACATGCGCCCTCCTTCCTTTTTTTGGGGAAAGGACTCTACAGCATCAGAGGGAAGGGATGGGAGGTGGCCTGGACAAAGGCCTCCAAGTCTCTTAACTCCACAGAGAGCCCCGTTCCAGTTTCATGGAGGAAGGCCCAGAAATGGGAGAGGGTACACAGACTGGGATAGAACCAAGGGCAATCAGCAGCAAGTACTTGGGTGAGCCTTGTCTAGGTCAGGCATCCAGCCTCAGGGCCCTCACCCACAGCCCAGCCCACCACTCACTGCCAGCGAAGTCGTTCTGCACCAGGCCTCGATACCGCTCATAGTTACACTTCCGCTCGTCTGACTCCTGCTCCGGGGAGCTTTGGGAAGAAGGGTTAAAAGGAAGGTGAACTGAAGCCCCAGCCATAAAAAGGGGGGAGGGGCCTCCTGGCCAGGAGAGGGAATGGGCAAGGCTCTTCGCTCCCAAGAAAGGTGAAGGGTATGCTGGGGCAGCCCAGCCCTGGAGGACACTTACATGGTGGTGAGCAGTGGGGGGGTGTAGTCAGGGATGTGGTCTAAATGCGCACGAACATCAAAGCGGTCAATCATGTTGTTAGTGTCCCCCTGCCAGGGCATCCTGAGGTGGGAGGACAGAGGCAGGCAGGGCTCAGGGAATCCAAGCATCCCATCCTTACCGTTTTAAGCCCATCTGATAGCCACTGTCACCTCACTCTCACCTCCAGTGCTCAGGTCCCTATGCTGTACCCCCAAATCTACACCTGGGGTTCGGGCCCCAACAAGTCATCCATCTGCCAGCGGACAAGCTAGGACCCCACTTCTCAGAGCCAGGCAAATAGCAAAGAACTTAAACCAGGCTGAGGAGGCCACCAAGGGAGCCACAGTCACCCTGAAACAGGCCTCTCTGGCAACCTGCCCACTATCACCTGTGGGCTTCGGGCAGCCTAAGCCCTCCCCAACTATGACACTCTACAAACCTCTCTGACAGCCACCTGCACATGCACAGGCTTCCCAGCCTGATTGTACAAAACTCTGTCCTTACCCGAGCCTCTCCTGGAGACTCTAGAGTACCCCAAGTCCCTTCTGACACTACGCTGTCCCCAACAGTCTTACATGTTCACAGGGCTCTCAGCAGCCAGGGCAACAGCAGAATCCAGGTGAACCTTGCAGGCGCGGCCATGCACCTGCAGGAACTGGGCAGGGTCTTTCTTCTGCAGGGATGGACAGGTCAGAGGTCACTAAGGAGCCAAGGCAAGGCCCACCACGCTCCACAAATAAGCCTAGTGGTCAGCTGACCTCTGGGTCAAGTCCCCAGGCCATACTTCACAGGTGAGCTGACACACAGCATCAGCAGCTTCTCAGGGCGTGGCCAGGAGAGCTGAACTCTGCTCTAGCTGAGCAGTCCTGTCAGCCTGGACTATATCCCAGCTACATGGACGCTAAGGCAGGGGGATTACAAATTAAAGGCCTACCACAATGACAGACATACTCTGTCTAAATTATTATCCCTAACTCTTCAGTCCCATCCCTGGTCATCCCTTTGGAGCCTAGTGTGAGCCCTGGGCTTGGGGCAGCCTCTGGGGCAGCAAGGGCAGTGGTACATCTGCAGGCCCGGAGGAGACAGCAGGCAGAAAGGGTCCCACACCAAATGCATTAGGATGGTGGAACTAGCAACAGGCAGCAAGGCACAAAGAGACTCAGCCCCACACACAGTAACCCAGGCTGAGGCTGTAACCTCGGGACAGTGCTGCTCCCTGCCATGCAGGAGGCCCTAGCTCCTTCGTCAGCACTGAAAAGAGAGAACAGCAAATAAAAAGTTCAACCAAGAATTCTGGTCTGATCCAGCAATTCCACTTCTAGGTACAGATCTTACATATGCTAGTGTTCTCGCTAGAACCAGTCACAGGAACTACTTGTATGAAGCAGCGCATCACTCAGCGATGAAGCAATGTGCGTTCCACTACAATGTGCATGGGTCTTGAACACACAGATCAGAGAAGCCCACTGCAAAGACTGCATCAAATAATTCCGTTCGCACAACACGAGCACAACAGGCAAGCAGTCCCTGAGTAGCTCCCCAGAGCGGAGCTACTGAGGGTAAGAGACAACGGGGAGCGAGAAAGGACTCATGGGTATGTGCTTGCTTTCTAGGCTAATAAAAACCTCCAATGTGCCTGTGGTGACGGGCATGACTGAGAGGTACTGGCAACACACCCCACCACTAAGCTTTTAAATGGTTCAACTGTGTGGTAGGGCAGTTACAGCTCAATAACACCGTTAACACAGACAGCACCCACGGAAGAAGCCAAGCACACTGCTATGTGCCTGTAATCCCACTACTGGGCAAGCAGAGAAGGTGGACCCTGGCTGTTTGCTAGCCAGGGTCAGGGAAAAATCCTGGGTCAAAAAAGGCAGAGGCAGGTGGATCTTTGTGAGTTCAAGGCCACCCTGGTCAACAGAATAAGGAGGACAGCCAAAGCCACACAGAGAAACCCTGTCTTAAAAAAAAAAAAAAAAAAAAAAAAAAAAAAAAAAAAAAAAAAAAAAACACTAGATGAAGAAAGAGCACCTACAGAAAATACTCAACCTCAGGCTGTAACTTCTACATGTGCTACCATATATGAAGACACACCTGCACGTACACAAATTATTTTTTCTTTTTTGTTTCCTTCGCTTTTTGTTTGTCCTTGGCTGTCCTGGAATTAGCTATGTAGAACAGGCTGTTCTCAAAACTCAGAGATCCATCTGCCTCTGCCTCTTGAGTGCCAGGATTATAGGCGTGCACCACCACTGCCTGGGTTTGACACAAATTATTTTTAAAATCAACAAAAGTCAAAGGGGACTTTTGACACCCCACCACCACCACCAAAAAAAAGGGACACTTAAGTGGGAGACTCCCCATTCCATCATCCTCAAGCCTGAGTCCTGAGACTGGGGGGAAGGGATTGCCAATCCACGTCACCACAAAAGCATCACGGGAAATATAAACCTGCTGGTGCCTTAGCCTGGCAGTTTCTGGGGTCATTACCAGAGAGAACCACAGAAGGGGCTATGCGCTGCTCCCTCCATACATCCTGAGCTGCTCCCACAGTTCTGCCAGAGTCTCAGCACATCCCTTGGCTGGGTCCTGCTGTCCATGGGTCACCTCTTCCCTGGGACATGTGGCTACTCTGCTCTCTAAAATGCTTTCTTTGTTCCTCCAAGCCACGACCCTCTTCCCAGAGCCTTAGCATGCTCTGGATAGCTCCCTGTCTTTCCTCTGCTCTCCCAGTCCAGGCTTACAGGCCTTTCTGTTATCACTCCCAGAAAGTTCAAGGCTCTATACTGTTGTTCCCTATGAGCAGGGCTGTTCTCTCTCTTACTTCACATCTCCTAGCACATTCCCAATCAAACCCACATGAATACCTTACTTGGGCCCAAGTGTTTTCCTCAGGGTGCTGACCAGCACCTGCTATTCCAGCTTGGCTAGCTTCTTCACCACCAGCCTTCCACAAGAACAGGATGTCTTTCCCAAGGGGTAGGAATCTGTTTTGCTCACTGTTGTGTCTGTCCCCAGGGCCTGGGTCCCCAAACAGGCTCTCAGGGCCTGTAACAAGTCAGGCAGAAGAAAAGAATCCTCTCTGACAGAAGACTGAGCTCAGAAGAGAAGCCACAGCCTCCTGTGCTCAATGGTGCTCACACCTTTGCCACCCCATCTCTGAGTCACTGTCTGTCCCCCCATGGCTCCCAGCAGGGAGTGGATGCAAGACCAGTGCAGAGGCCCACACTGGCCAGAGCTGGCACCCTGCTCATCTGATTGCTGAGCACTGGGCCGTCAAGACCCTGAGTTCACAGAAAAGAAGCTGACAGAAGGCCTGTCCAAGATCCCAGGGTGCATCTGGGTCCAGGCTGCCCTACACTTGCCTTCCTCCTTCAATTCCGCAGGCCACACAGCCTGAGGCCTAAGGCTAAGACTGGAGGGACACCAGGTGCAGCATGAAGCCTGGCAAGCCTGTAAAAGCCCCCGGAGGGATCTACATACCACAGCAAGTGGCCCCAGGACAGGGCATGCCTGGGGCTCTGAGCTAAGCAAGCACTGTTTGAGAACATCCCCCAATCAAACTCTGCCCATTTCCCACATGAGGAAACTGAGGCAAAGCCACAAGGCCCACATTTGAAATCACACCAACATCAAGCAGAACTAGTCTAACCCCAGATGGGCCCAACTCTTTTCTAGCTTCTGCTTATTTTCTCGAATTTTAAGGTAATTATTACTGTGGTAAAAAGTACCTAACATAGAACCTACACCCAACAATTTTCACTTTTAACAGTTTTGCTGCTCCAGGGATTAAACCTAGGACCTCGCCCAGACTAGGCAAGTGCTCACCTACTGACAGCACAGGGCAGCCCTTCACAGCTGAAGAGCAGTGCAGAAGCATGCACCTCTCCGTGTGACCTCTGCTGCCCGTCTCTACAGTGGCCTCATCTTGCAGAGTGCAAACTATACTCGCTAAAGAACTCTAGCCCCGTGCCCCGTCCCTAACAACCACTATTCCACCTAAGTGTTTCACTTCATCTCCCGGCATGCAGAGTCAAACTGTAGCCCGCCATACTGTTCCTTTGGGTTTCATTTTTTTGACCGGGAACTCACAGAGGTCCACCTGCATCTGCCTCTGGAGTGTGGTACTGTTTTCTTGTCATTGGCTTTGTGTTCCACACTGGATGTGAGGATAACAGCCTTTCAGTGCACATACAGTCACATTTTTTTTCCTGTTCCCATTTTCACATGAGTGTATGTTCGCATGAATGTACACACAGATGTGGGTACATGGAGGCTTAAGGTACATATCACTCTTCTACCCTCTTCACTCAGGTTTGTCCTATCTCAGACATAAACCTGCCTGATATGGTGGATCTGGTTAGCCAGACTGCTCCAGGGACCCTGTCTCTCTGCCTTCCTGAGGTTGAACCACAGGCCAGTCACCAGGCCCACCCAGCATTTCACAGGTTCTGGGAATCCAAGCTCTGGTCACTATGCTTGCAGAGCATTAACCCAGCCCAAAGTTTCTTAATTCATTCATCCATACAGTTAGTTTCTTCCAGCTCTTGTGAGCAACAATACGAAGAACTAGGCTGTGCAAGTATCTTCCTGAGACGCAAGATCCAGGCTGAGAGTGGAGCATGTACCTGGCACCTATCTGTAGGCTCCATCCCAGCATCAGAGACAAACAAATCAATGCAATCACCTTCACCTGCCAGGCTGTGCTCCCTCTGGGTTCAGATGGGGAGGAGTCCATGTACATGGTACATGCTGTACTTCGGCATATACCAGTGGATGCTCAGTCCCCACAACTCAAGCTCCACCCTCTAAGGCTCGCAATTCAGTGTAGGTAACAGCCCTGCCCCGACAGCAACTACCTTATATACAGGGAAGTACTGAGCCCAGAGGGATGTCTGGCTTCCAGAGGGGACTTATTCCCGTCTGTGGATCAATAAGGAATGCATTTCCCCATTTGAGGTAGTCTTAGTAGGTAGCCCTGACTGTCCAGAACTTGCTATGAAGATCAGGCTGGCCTCACACTCACAGAGATGTACCTGCCTCTACCTCCCTTTAATGCAAGGATTGAAAGCTTGCATTGCCACATCCTGTAGATTGCATTTCTTTATCCAGCGGCTGGACTGCTGAGAACACAGGCACACACTTGTAATCCCAGCACCCAGGAGGCTTAGGCCGCAGGAATGTGAACTGAAGGGTTGCCTGGGCGACACAGTGAATTCTAGGTCAGCCCGTACAATTTAGCAAGATCCAATCTCAAAAAAAAAAAAAAAAAAAAAAGGAAAGAAGAAAAGTGAATGGGAACAATGACAGAAAAGTCATAAAACTTGAAAAAATGCAGTCACCAAGAATGATCAGCCATCAAGCGGCCACAGCAGCCACCAGCAATGGCCTGGCCATCTCTCAAAGCTAGGCTCCACATATCTGGATGCAGGTCACATTCCTGTCCCATACACTGGGTGCTTGTATCAGCCACACCACAAAGAACCCCACAGACACTTGTCAAGCTTTTCCTGTCACCCAGTGAGGGACTCTTCCTCAGCACTGCTCTGGACAAATGCTCATGAGGCTCCCTGCCAACCAGGAGCATCCCTCTCCAGGCTCCCTATGTGTCATCCACCCATTAGTCTGAATCCAAATTCCACTCTACCCAGCAATAACAAGGTTTGTGAGTCTGTTATTTTCCCTTTGTTTGGAGTACGGGGTGGTGCTGGCTAGCAAGTGCTCGCCACTGAGCCACATCCCTGGACTGCAAGTGAACCAACCCTTCCTGAGCAGCAGTTACACAAACTGAGACACACAGGCTGTGTAGCTGTCTCCTCCCCGCTCGGACACTCCTTGCTGCTTCAGGAAGCTGATGCCACTTCAGGAAGCTGATGCCACTTAAAAGGCTCTGAAGCTTACGACTAATTGGACAAGGTTCAAAAGCTGCTGCCACAGTGACACAGCTGCCAAGAAGGGCCACAGAGAGCTGTGGCAAGAAGCTCAAGGAAAGTGGCTTTTATGAGCCTTCAACCATGCTTGGGTGGGCTTTCTGCTGATGCACATCGAGTCCATATTCTGTCGTAGCTCCAAAGACACTCAAAAGTCACTAGGCTTGACCTTCAAGGAATTTTCTCTGGTACGTTGCCGTGCCCTACCAACAGTGAAGCCACTCCAAGAAAACCCATAAAACATCCAGTGGGGAAGTGCACACTGGCCCTCACATCCCCCCATCAGCCTGTGAGAGAGCTGCAACTAGTTGTTCTCCACTGGCAGGCCACCCAGCTCCACTGTCCCACTTCAGTGGTCAGCTCACACAGCTGGCCAAGCCCACCTAGAATGGAATCTCCACACGTTTGTTTCCTTGAGGCTGAATAGGCCTGTGGGACTTCCATGTCAGTAGGACAGGAGCCAAGGGTCACGGGAAAACACCTAGAAATTCTCTCATCAAGGAGCATGAGAGCCCCTGACCCGCTCTCTTATTTCCTCTCTGCAAGGTGGAATGAAGACACAGGAGCCAGAGCTTTCTACAGAACTCTCTCAGATCTCAAGACAAACCAGTCATGTTAAAGCCTCTTGCTCATATTTCATTCCTCTACTACAGCCAAACCAATTCCACCCCATGCGTCATTCTGCATGCAGGAAACATTAGGCAGCAGAATAGCCAGGAGGACAGCTTGAACAAGGGAGCCAGGCAGAGTAGAATGGCATGAATCTGGAAGACAGGAAAAAAAATCAAACCAAGTGGCTCAGTGGCAAACTGTTTGCCTAGAATCTACCAAACCAGTGGAGACCTATAGGTGTGGCTCATCCTACAGAAGAGTAGAGCCCCTGCCTAGAATCCCCCAGTGAGGGGCTGGGGTGTGGCTCAGTGGTAGAGCCCCTGCCCTAGATTCCCCCAGTGAGGGGCTGGGGTGTGGCTCAGTGGTAGAATCCCTGCC